GGTCCCTCTGGATGGCATCCCTCTAGAAGACTGCTTGGCAGCAATCAGCGTAGGAGACAGAAGGGATGAGGTGAAACCAAAAGGCTGGCCTCATCGAAGCTGTGCTTCGTAGACTCACACAAAGGTTAGCTCCTTGTTTCTAACTGCCTTTGGCATCAAAAAAAAGAAAGGCAGCCTTTCTGCGAGTTCAAAACACTGTACCTCTAGTTATCAAGTTGTCATCTTGGGTCACCAGCAACAGTACCCTATTTCCAAATGCTCTATGGAAAGGTTTTGGGACTCCAACTGGAATTCTGCACCTCTACTATGGAATAAAATATCCAAGATCAAAAGCCTTTACCTCGATTTAAAGAGACAGGCTTAGAGTGAAACCTTGTGAAGAAGAAAACTGGTATCCGGTTAAAACGTGTTTATATCACTTGGAATTAAATTGCTTCTGGAAAAAATATCTGAAAGATTAAAGAGTACAGATATAAATGAATGTGGAGAACTAGAGCTGAAATGAACCGTGGGGTTTTCCTTGACCTTGCATGGTCTCTGCTCCACTGAATGGAACCAGTGTCAGTGAAAATTCACCACGGCCCTGTCTTCTACTTCCTCATGAGTTTTTGAGGGAGAAGGGAAAGTAAATAAACTAAAATTATGTTGTAAAAATGAACAAGAGTTGTGAAAACAGCAAAAACTGAACTAAAAAAAAATCTGACACCGCTTTATAGAAACTGACTTTGTGCTTAACAGCTCAGAAATTTATTTAAGTATTAAAGGCGAGTGACACCTGAATTAAAGCCTATTTAAACCAAAACCCAAGAAAGGTTTGCTCTTCTGTTACGCTAACCTTCAGCTCTGGGTGACAGCACTGCCCAAGGACAGGAGCATGTTTCTTCCCTGATCCTTTCAGAGATAAAAATGCTGAAGAACAGTTGCCATACACAGCCTGGAATGCTGGCACTGGACAGCATCCCCAAGAGACAGCATAGCACAGACGTATTCCACTGTCATCACGAAAATACACTTCCCCTCCCAGTACCAGGACTGCTACACAATCTAACTCAGCTACTCGCAGCCCTGAACAATACGCCTGCAATCCACTGCAAATTCTGCATCAGGTGACTCAACAGGCACGAGACAGAAGAAACCACCTTTCACTTTGATGCTTCACAGGAGTTGTTTCAGATCCTCTCAGTTTCTAGAAGATGCATCATTCCAGAATGTGTTGCTGTTTTAACAATTCTGGCTCTTTGGATCGAACCTGACTTAATTCTTGACTCCAGGAGAAATCCAGATTTCAGAGAAACATCAACTTCCTTCACAATTGGCCATAAATACGAATGGCAACAGGCAGCCTTTTACACCATTAGATCACCTACTTCGACCGCTGCTTTTCTTACACAGGAAGAGGGAAACAGCGACAGCCCCCAGTAACTGAGAAGACTGTGTAAGAGCCCAGCAATTTCAGAGGAGTTAGAATTTTCCTAGAAACTGCAGCAAGTAAAGTCCACTGTGTCAAAACTGGTTTCAGGAAATCCTGTTTCTTCAGCAGCTTAACTTGTAAAGAAAAAGTGTCAGAATCGTTTTGACAGTCCTTTTGACTTGGATGGTGATAAAAATGTTCATGCTGCCTGGGAAAACGCTGGAAGAAAGCTGGAATTGTAATTCCAGAAATAATGGATTACAGCAGCTTTATATTTTATGACCCAAAACAACTGATGCCCTGGGGCCACGACACAGAGGCAAAGTAAGCAGATCCAGACGTTCACACCGCGTAACTGCGCTCTCCTGCTGCTGAGAGCATCGCAGCACGCGGAGTGGAACAGGGCTTCGCCAGGAGCCCAGGAAGCCCTGCCCGGAACCGCAGGGAGCACTGCCAGTGCAAGGATTTCAAACCAGGTGGCGCTCTCAGCTGGAAGAGCAACTGCCAGAATGGATTAAGGTATAACGTCCTGCTGTTTGTGCCAAAAAAACCACCCCAAACCCTTATGGTCTTTGGAATAAGGCATTAACCCTGCTGCCCTGGCCAACTGCTGACCTCTGCTCACACGTAATCTGCTTCAGCTACGTCAGCTCCGCTCTGCACCTGCTGGTCAGTGGGACGGCACGCCAGCTAACCCCCTCCAGACCTGTGGGAGTCAGTGATCTCCTTCTAATAGATGTATTTATGCACTTCGGTTTAAAAAAAAGTAGAAATCTAGGGTGACCCATGGAAAAACCCCAATTATTTCTATGCTTTTAACTGCCTTAAGAGAGACTCTTTAAAATTCTGCTTTCCCAGAAGATTTCCGTTTTGCTGCTGCAAGCCAAGCCCAGTACATTCATCTAACAGGAACTTTAAAGGAACCCACAGTAAGTGTATTAGGTGGAATTAGTATTGTTAGCATTCACCTCACCCACTGCAACCATTAGCCTTGGTGAATTCACAGGATTAAACCCAAATCTAAAAAAAAGGAAGAGGCTTCTTGTCAGCAAAGACTTGACAATTGCTGTTCTGTGTTCTCAGCTGACTCATCTCTTCAACGGCTGAAGAAAACCTTTTACGTTTTTGAGAATTTGAAGCTTCCTGCTTAATAACCAAGTCTGATCTGCGGAAGCTTTCGTGCACAGCAGATCCTGAAACACAACCCCGTGTGACAGGGGTGGTGCTAGGAGGATGAACACCTACACGGAGGTTCCAGGCAGAGAACACTGATGCCTTTTCAGGTTGTTGGCCCCACAAGCCCCTTTCTTATTGCCGTAACGCAGTTAGCCAGAATTAACTGTGTAAGCTTAAATAGTCAAGCACTTACTACTCTTCAGGGCTAGCTAAGATTTCCTTCCTTCATGCATGCTTTGAATGAAAGAGGGCACAATTAAACGTGCGTTGTGCTCTCCCCGAGATCTGTTCTAGTCTCAATTTACACAAGTAGACCACAGGCCAGCGCCACGTGGGTTCCTGCTTGGGAACGTAAAGCATGCAGTAGAAAAAGAAGCTTACTAGTCCTGTACGGCTCGGCTTGCTGCTTACTGAAGATGCCACAGAGCTGAGAGAGCTCAGAGAAGATGCACTTGGGCTACGTTTCAGGGCTGTGGGAGTCGCAACCACTTTTCGCACAGTTGTCTTTGCCTTCGCTGGTGTGGTTGACGGGAACCCGATCTTCGTGACTTTGTGGACTGGAGCAAACAAACCGTATTTGGGCTGACACTGAAAATACCTTTAAAAAAAGCAAAGCAGACAGGTGAGATTGCTAAATTAACCTCTGTCTTTTCAGACACACGGTCTGGCTTCACAAAGGATTCTAGACCCATAGTCTAAAAGTACTAAAGAACAGGGCAACACCCAGTGACAACCTAATCTGTATCAAATTGCAATTTCTTTTTTTAACACTAGATTTGGAAGAAATAGGGCTTCGAGAGGCTGAAACAGCATGGTAATTGCAGATTCAGAAATTCAGCAGAGAATACTCTTGAGTGAGAGCTCGCTCTTTGTTTCCTAAAAACTCCATTCAAATTTCAACATGCATAGCCGGCTTCTTTGACAGAGCTGCCAACAACAGATGTGAGAGCAGAGAGTTAAAAAAAAAAAAATCAGATTATAAAATATAAACCTCCTTGATTTAATGATGACATACATACCTACACATGTGAGCGTTTGAGAATACAAAATGTATTTTTGGTTACATGTAAAATTTTAAGTTGTGATCACCTATATGAAGGCAGCACAATCCTTTTAAAGCCTCCTTTTAAGGAGTTAAAGGAGAGTGTTCCTTACACCAAATGAGAAAGGACGTTGAATTGTGAAGAGTTAATGCTTTCTAGGTGTGACTTATCGGAGGAAGCAGCTATGCTGCTCCCAGAATTTACAATGAGGCAACTATTGGTACAGAAGCCTTCAGTTCCTGTGATGCAGAAAGATTCCCATTAGATACCCAGAGATATTTTCTTAACTGAGCATTCATTCCAAGCAGAGAAACCAAGCAGATGCTCAAAAAGCAGGAAATTGTGTTTTCCATTACCAGTCTATGAATAAAATTCACATGGGAGTAGGAAAGAGCAACTAATCCCATGAAGGTGGGGTTGATGCAGACTGTCAGAGATGTGTAGGAGTCATAAAATTCAAATCAGTGTCTAATGATCCCCCCCACCAGCAGACAGTCAAGTTTACAGCCTAACTGCCTCCCCTGGTAAGAAGTTTAATGTAAGATACTAAAAAAAGATTGGAAGTTTAATGTAAGATATTTTAAAAAGCAAAACAGAATATAGAGATGCAAAATCTTTGAGGCGGCTGCTAGCTGATGACAGACCAACCTTGTTCCAGCAACAGCTCCATCATTCTTCCCCAGAGGTTCGTCCAGCTCTACTCCACACCATTCTCCTTTAGCAAAATCAGTTTCTCCCAAGAAACGCACAACTCCCGCTTTTGTTCCACCAACCTAAGGCAAGAGGACACACAACTGCGTTACGGCACTTCCAAACCTGAATACCAGAGTGAGAGAGCTTTCAGGATGGTCATGTTCAAAAGCACTTTAATATGTGCCCAGTTCTTACTTCAAGCTGCATATTCCTTTGCCCGCGAGTTTACTGTTGAAGAGATCTTCATCACCAAACTGTTTACAGAAGAGAAAAAGACCAAAGGAAGCCCAAAGTCACTCCCCTAGCACTTAGCTCTGTCCAGTTTGGGGTTCAGGAAGTTTGCCATCGCTGAAGGCCACAATGACATTTGGTGGCTTGATATGGCTGCAAGATTCAAAACACATTTATCAAGGCCCAGTGCAACCAGCCTACTGAACGCTAGAGATTTGCGACCTGCTTTCACACAAACTTCTGTCAGCAAACAGAGATTTCTAACAACTGCCTATTTCTTGTTCTAATTCGGTAAAAGAAACGAGAAAAAAGCCTTCTGTATTTCTCTAAGGAATAGCTCAGTAAAAGACACAGTACAGCCCTCTGGCATTACAGAGCATGGAAAAAGCAGGATGCACGGCACTTGGCAAAACTGTAGGTGCAAACCGCTATGTGAATTCCTGGGGAGGGGAGAATCATTTTCTTTTCTTCACTTAACAAAAGACAAGACACATCACCTCACTCCTCCCCCAAAAAACCCACCAAATCCCAAACAATCCTCAATGGAAGACTAGAAATCAGGTTTTTTTCAGATTTCTAATATTACCTATTTACAGCCATCCCAATCACTTGCAATCTCTGCAAGATACAGCTTTTCTCAATGCCCAGGGGAGGGAAGAATTAAGTGAAGAAGCAGAAGGTGTTCAGCGTGGCTGACACTTGCCAAGAAGGGCCACCAGCCAGAACTGCAGGGTTCTTGCGGGTCAGGATGACACAACATGTTGTGCCCTATTTGTGTGAAAATCTGTTCAGCCTGCATCCGGCATTAAGGAAACAACTGTTAAGGAAAACCTCTTCCAGAGGTTCAGTGAATTCAACATGGACACATGCAGGGCCATCTTCCACTTGTGTCTTCCAGCACACGTTACGCAACGAGGAGCGTTCCGCAGCCTCGGCAGAGCGCTTGGCTGTAACCTGCCAACACAAAGACTGTAACTTGCCTTCTTATATAGAATCATAGAATGGTTTGGGTTGGAAGGGACCTTAAAGATCATCTAGTTCCACCCCCCCTGCCATGGGCAGGGACACCTTCCACTAGACCAGGTTGCTCAAAGCCACATCCAGCCTGGCCTCGAAGACATCCAGGGAGGGGGCATCCACAACATCTCTGGGCAACCTGTTCCAGTGCCTCCCCACCCTCTCTGTGAAGAATTTCTTCCTGATCTCTAATCTAAACCTCCCTGATTTCAATTTATACCCATTACCCCTTGCCCTATCACTACAGGCTCTTGTAAAAAGTCCTCTCCCAGAACCCTTGTAGGCCCCCTTCAGATACTGGAAAGCTGCAATGAGGTCTCCTCGGAGCCTCCTCTTCTCCAGGCTGAACAAGCCCAGTTCTCGCAGCCTTTCGTCATAGCAGAGGTGCTCCAGCCCTCTGATCATCTTCGTGGCCTCCTCTGGGCTCGCTCCAAGTGGTCAAAATCCTTCTGATACTGAGGGCTCCACAGTTGGACTTACTAAAGAGTAAGTTAGATTTCATGTCATTTTTCCATTAGACATTCTCCTTCTGGGGACAACTTCCCGGGATAACCAGAGAACAAGCTTCTGAGCCGTAAATTAGGGTGCGTGATCCCAGTACACGAGATAGTTCACATCCGTACACTGGGGAGGTGCTCGCACAAGAGGCTGACTGTGCGGAACCCAGGGACGGAGGGTATTATCGTGCACGACATCACTAAGTGTCCACCAAGTACGACGTTAGGGCACAGTACCTGCCACACACATTTGTGCTCTAACTTCTGGCTCATCAACCTCAGGCAGCAGACAGCTCTGTTAGCAATGCAGGGCTCCAGCTGATGAGGAGAAAATCCTAACCTTCACCAACCTCAGAAAACCAGAGAAGAATAATCAACCCTGTTTGATTTTACTGAAGTGAGAAAGCCGACAGGCTCATCTTTCGTCTGTATTTAGGTCTCCTCCTCCTCCCTCATTAGAAGCAGCCTTGAAACACGCTTAACCTGCAGGTCACCTTTCCATCTCCCTTTAGGTGCCACTGCAGCAAATGAGCACTCCTCACGGAGTAAAAATACACAGAGTTTACAGTTATCATGACTCAGCCTCACACAGTAACTAGTAGAACGTTCGGTATTCAGTGTTCTTGGCAGAGAACAGACAAACTTCCCCTCTCAAAGAACAGGCACCAGCACTGTCCTAGAAAACAAGAGTCGTAACCAACCAAAACACGCAGTGGAATCCAGACCTTTCCCATAGCACAGCGGTGACGATGGGATATGTAACATTTGTTACAGGTATTTCCTGGGAAGAACTGTCCCTTAAGTCGCCATGTTAGTCACCCTCAGACACAGCTTCACAATAATTATCCTCTAGAACAAGTAGGTTAAGTACAAACGTAAAAATAAAGTTTAACTGAACAGTGGGAGAGACACACACACGCCTGTGCTATCAGTCCATCCTGGGCCTTCCGAGTTGTCCTGGTCCTTAGTCCTTCCCTAGCAAGCTGGAAGATAGCTTTGAATGAAAAGCCAGGTTAGTGCTGTGTGTACAGGTTCCCCACTCAATTCTGTACCGTTGGCTGCCTGAATAAACAAGAGTTAAACCAAAAGAAGCTGTAAAAAACCCATTAAAGAAATTAGACAGGAAAGCTAGAACAATAGCCCAGATGAGGAGCGTCCCCCTCCAACCCCAATGGTCAGGTCTGTGGTAGCACAGCAGGATCCCTCAGCTCCTTTCACGGAACTCTTCAGCCAGGCCAAGGAATTTTACTGCCGTTTCATGAAGTGGTGCTGGGGAGCTGTTTTGTGCTGTGTTTGGGTTGTTTTAATAAATAACGTAAGTCAATTCCCAAAACACAGACGCACAAAACCTTCCCATAGGACGGCCGGGGGGTAAGCAAGGTAAGAGCTATGCGAAGCATGGTAGTGGAAAGGGAGAACTAGATGGAACGACGCCCAGAGACAGGAACAACTGCTGCAATCTGTTCCCTCCAACCCAAACTGTAAATAAACCTCTAGATAACGTTAGCTCCAGGATAACACAGGTTAAACTGGGGTGCAGAATATTCATTCCTTTTTGTTTCCTGCCTTGGCCCTGCTCATCTTCCACATTCAGGTAAAAAACGTATGGCATTTATTGCGAAGACATTGCATCCAAGTCCCAAGCTGGGAGGCGCGATCTGAAAGAAAAGCTTTGGCAGTGACCAGTCCCCGTTGGACCTGCTACAGCAATCACAGTGGATCTGCACGGGACTGCAACCCGGGGCCTGGTGGGAGCGAGCAAACGGAGGAATTTGTATCCCGAGAACATATGGGGATGCACATGAGATCCCCAGGAGAAGCGGCAGCGTGACTAGCCCTGTAACCATGGTACCAGGGTTATTTTAAAACAAGATGCAAGGAAGAATGCCAAAGAATTTTTTTCCCAGACCTAGTCAAGCTCTTTGAATAAGCAGCTACTACCTTTCTGCAAACACTGAAATGTGGGTCCTTAGCAGTAGTAGGGACCAGCGCACACGGCAGCGGTGAAGTGCTCGTAGCATCGACAAAGGTGTGCTCAGTTCTAAGCAAAAGCCTTTTAACCCTCCAGCTTTGCTGACAAGGTCAGCATGGCTCCACAAAGCCTGACTCTACCAAAGGCTTTACAGTCACCCAGACACCTGCCTCAAACAGCAGCAATTAAGTACCCCACGCACGACAACACGCATGCCCTGGAAGCCTTTAAGAAAAGCATCACTTACTCCCTTGGTAGGACAAGGTGAGGTGCTACTGTGCAGCACACCAGGGTGAAGGCTTTTCTATGCCCTGAAGCTGCTGTACATACACAGACTTACACATAAAGGAGAGAAAAGATTAAGATGTGATTATGCTGAACTGTATATACCAATATGAAATAAAAAAAATATTTACAGAATTATAGCATTTAGTATAGAATTACAGAAAAAAATATTAGCAATTATAAGAATTATAGCAAAAACCAACCCAAACCAATAAACCTAGTAGCATTTGCCAGTGGATCTACTTCCTAATAGTGAATGAAGGACTAAAAAAACCCCAGTTTCTAAAAGAACTGGGAAAAAAGTTAATAAAAAGGTTTCTAAAAGTTATATGAAAAAATGGGGCATCGCTACCATGAGACGGTTTTCTATGACCTTCATT